CCCCCCCCCGGAGCCCTGTATCCAGCTTGGGGGTCCCCAGCACAAGAAGGAGGACATGGACCTGTTGGAGCGGGTCCAGAGGAGGCCCTGGAAATGGTCCGAGGGCTGGAGCCCCTCTGCCAGGAAGAAAGGCTGGGAGAGTTGGGGGTGTTCAGCCTGGAGAAGGGAAGGCTCCGGGGAGCCCTTATTGCTGCACCTCAATATATAAAGAGAGCTCCTAAGGAAGATGGAGAGAGACTTTATACCAAGGCCTGTGGGGGCAGGACAAGGGACAACTGCTTTAAACTGAGAGAGGGCAGGTTTAGGTTAGATATGAAGAAGAAATGTTTTATGGCGAGGATGGTGAGACACTGGAGCGGGATGGCCAGAGAAGCTGTGGATGCCCCATCCCAAGGTGAGGTTGGACGGGGCTTTGAGCAAGCCCACCTAGTGAAAGACATCCCTGCCCACAGCAGGGGGGCTGGACTAGATGGGCGTCAGAGGTCCCCCCCAACCCAAACCATTCTGTGAGGTGGCGATGGAGCTCCCCTCACTCCCTGAACTCCTCCCCTGTCCTTCGCCCTCCCATGGGACCTCGGCGCCCGGCTCTTTGCAGACGGCGTCCCCGGCGGGGGCGGCCTGGGCGACCCTCGCTGTCTCCCAAGGAACCATGCCAAGGGGAGGCCCCTGTCTTGCCGAGGCAGTGGCCGGAGGCTGGCCAGGATTTGGCGGCTTCTGAAGACCCCCTCTGTGGTCCCGTTGCCCGGGGTCTCCCTTCCCCCCCCCGCCTCCTGCTGAGACCAGCGCTCCCGCCAGCGGGCAGCTCCATGGTGGGGAGCCTCTTCCCTACGGCAGCCTGTGTTTTCCAGCCTAACTTTCCCCGAGCTGAAGCGGCAGACGTGGGCAATCGTTCCCCAGCCCCCTTCGCCCGTAGCTCACGCTGATCCGAGCTGAGTTGCCGTTCCGCTGCTCTTCGGGTGCGAGAGCGCAAGCTTCCCGGGGATCCCTCCGGAGAACTCGGAGGCTTAATTTTTATGCAATGGCTGTGGTGAATGTCGTGTGAGCCCGTACGGATGGTGTTTGACCTATATAAAGTTAGAAATCCTGCTCTGTCCCCCGTGCATTCCGCATGACTCTGCAAAATGCTCAAAATGCTTTCAATTCCTTTTTTTTTTGTTTTTTAATAATAACCCCCCTGAGCTGGTTCCATTTGAGGTCCCTCTGGTGAGGCCCCGGCTGTGGCAGCAGCCACGTTCCCCTTCCAGCCCTCGTGTTCCCAGCCGCCCCTTCGTGTCCTTTGCTCCCTTAATGTTCTGGGCTCGTTCTGACCCCAAAGTGCTTTTCCTGGCTTTTCCCGGCCCTTTGCCGTGTTACTGCTTTGAACACGATGGATCCGCCCGCTCTCCTGTTCCCGAGGGCAGAATTGGCGCTGCTGGCTCCGTAGCAGAAGTACAGAGCACTTTTCTTAGCATTCTTTTTTGAACGCGCAGGCCAGATTTTATTTTTCTTCCGTTTCCAAGCCCCCCGGTGCCCAGAAGGCGATCCTTCTAGACGTGCCGTTTCCCGGGCTGGTTTCCCACCTGCCCTTCTCCGGAATCTCCCGCAGCCGGTGCGGCTGGAACGCCAGTGCGGCAGGCAG